GTGCTTAGATGCGGAATTTATACAAATAAAAATGTCGGGTTATCACATTTTTACCTCCAAGTGGCAGCTAACACTGAAAGAACACTAGATTCAAGGGCTCCTTCTCATTCCAAGCCTTTTGCTTCTCAAACTCCTTCTAAGACTGCACTAAAACATACAATCTTAGCCCCCCTCTCTCTCTCTCACAGATGAATATATCTCGATTAGGGTTTCTCTCAGTGTGTGAAGGTGATGAGGGAGGTGGGGTAAAGGACTTAAGGTCCTTTAAATAGGGTGCAAACCCTGAAATTTAGGGTTTTCACACTCAACTCCTACTCGTCAAGTCGGGTCCCCCCAACTCGTCGATTAGACTCTAAAAATCACGCGACCATCTCAGTCTCTTACTCGGCGAGTTGGGGCATCCAAGTCATCGAGTTTCCTTGACAAAATAAATATAATTTAATTAAATAATTATACATGTGAATTAGGATGCTACACTTATAAAAGAGATCATTTAAATTAATATGTTTCAAGTATAACCTCTATCTTCAACTATATTGACTTGAAGCTCTCCAACTTTACAACTTCTTGTACTTATTTGTCTTTAACCATATTCATTTGTAACTCTATAACTTTTCAACTTCTTCAACTTAATAGAATGATTAATTGAAATTTTTTTGTCTATATATGAACATTATCTTTCATTCTTAGTTCCTCGTATTTTCTTCTTACCTCTTTTGTCTATATAAGAACATTATCTTCCATTCTTAGTTACTCATATTTTCTTCTCTCCACCTTCTGTTTTTGGTATATAGAGTGTTTGCCAATGAAAAAGAAGGTTATAGTTGTTTATGTATAAAAGAAAGATTTTAATGATGAAATGTGTCGAGGAGACATGATCTTCTTTGGAATTGAGACTATTTATTCAAAAGAACTTTGAGATGTTTGGTCTGTGATCCGCGGTCAAGAAGAGAATGTGAAAATCTTTTTTAGGTCTGCAATCTTCTAAAGAAACAATCAGTTTGCAAAGGCCAATGTCTACATGTGGTCTATGCAATGCAAACAAAAGAGGTTTAGAATATCTACAGACAAAAATCAAACAACACCTAAATGTTTTTCAAGTACTTCATCATATCGTGGGAAGGCGAAGACGTGATTGTACACACACATCAACACTTTTATGATTTAAGATTTCGCGATACTTTCCTTTATAACTCTGATTTTGACTTACAGTTTATGAACAAATGGTTTTACATTTAATATATCTTTATAAAATTGGATTTTATTCTATTTTAAAAATAAAAAATTTAGTCAAAACATAATCATATTCTTATCTATTTTACTTTGTTGGGACAATCTGTGACAACCGACAAGCTTCTGGGCAAGTCAAGGTCAACAAGTCAATCTGGTCAACTCAACTAGTCTTTATATGTTAGGGATTACTTTATGTTTACTAATGTATGACTCTAAATCTTAATGCAAAGTACCACTTGAAAGTTCAAATGTTAAAAGGTTCTAGATCTTAATCAGGGATAGAGAAGTAACAACTCTATAAAACACTATTTCATGCCCTTCGGGGGTGTATGACACTCAAAATAGGGTGTAACTAAGTCTAAGGTCCTTGCCCTACGAAGAAAAACATTAACAAAGGCCCCCGGTAAAGTCTCTCTCAATCTCTCCCACTGTATCTCACTCTCTCCCAAATCTCTCCAAGTATGTGAAATCTCTCCCAAATCTCTCCAAGTATGTGAAATCTCTCTCAAATCTCCCTGTGTAGTCTTTCCTTAGTGAAATTGCAACTCAAAATGAAAGGAGAAAAGCTTGAAAGAACAAGCCCAGGGGAAACTCCTTAAGTAGCTTCGGACCCCCCCCCCCCTCACCCACTTCGGAATCCTCGGAAATGGCTCCGGAATTAAGGTGCTCCGGAATGACCTTGTACCGGACAATCTCGCATCTCGGAACTCCCTGGTTTCGGACAATCTCGCATGCCCCGGAAGGATCAACTCCGGATGATCTCGCTTAAGGGTCGCTTCGAAATTTTCAGTCGGCTTCACGCCTCCGGTCCGGACCTTCGGAATTTGCCTGCGACTTCGGATCCGAGAAAAACACTCCGAGCCTCGCCTGTTGACTCTGGAATTCGCTTAAGGACTCCGGAAATTAGAAGGGGACTCTGGAACTCGCTTCTTGACTTCGGATTTTTGTCCATTTAAAATTTTTTCTTCAGTTTAGGACATTTTGACGTCGGGAATTCCTCCAAACTCATATTTTTCATATCCTAAACCCCTTAAACCCTTATTTTATGCCAAAATTGATTATTTTAAACATATTTATATAAAATAATTCCCAAGATTTTTTTAAAAGAGATTCTAAGTAGATGAAGGGTTTGACTTTGTGATGTGATGTAAATCCTTCATTCCCCATGCAAATCTCAGTAAAACACACATTATCCATAGATAATAAGGTTTATCCACCAGCCCTCCATGCAAATGTCAAGTCATCCCTTATCCTCGCCATTTAGAATACGTGAAATCCTTTCCCCCTTATCCCACTTCTCATTTTCATACTTAGCAAGCTCCTAAGAAGTGCTCTCAACTCCTTCAAGCTCCAAGTTTCATTTATTCAAAGAAAATTTCCAGATTTCTTTTTGTAAGTATGTTATCTTCTTTGAATAATAATTCTCCTCATTATTTGTAAGATCTCATTATATTTACACATAAAATTATTCTTAGAATATTCTAAAGTTCAAAGAACCCTTCAAGTGTTGAAACTTGGAAACTCCTCATCACCTCCTCAAATCACCCAGCAAGTTAACCAAGGTGAGCTTCATACCCCACCTTTTTCTAAGTTTCTATTGTTTTTGGGGTAGAATACAAATCAAATCTTGTCTAAATCCTTGGATAATTACATGTATTTGTATGTTTAGTATGTGTTGATATATTATTATTTTATTAAAATTTTCATGAACGTGAGATTTCATAATTTCATGAAGATTGGGGAGTAATTAAATCACTACATAAAGGATACTTTGTATACAAAAGAGCCTCCCAAACTATTGGGTGTGTCCAACATACCCCCTTTATCTATGCTTTCATGTCTATAAATAAAAGTTGCTAAAAAGGACCTTAATAAGTTGACACTATTTCTAGAAATTTTCGAAAACTGAAACTTTATGATTTTTTTTCTTTTTGCAAATTATTAGGGATCATTTTATAAATAATCTCATCAAGAAATTGTGCAAATAAAACCCTTATGACAGAAACATTTGCACGTGATAAGGTTGCTATCATAAACTCACACAAGTCAAAATTGTATACAAACCATAACTCGACACTTTCGAGCAAATGGGGTCTCACTTAGTATTTTTATGAAGGGAAGAATCGTTTTTGCCGACTTCGCTAATATTGGGTCGATTTAATAATATTCAAAAGGAATTATTTTTTTTTGTTACAAATGAAACGAAACTAAACGAAATATCTAGTCAACATCTACAATTATTATTATTTATTTAGTAAATAATGGATTGCACGATTTGCCCAAAGATCGGTTAGTATTCTAGTCAGAAAAATCTTCACAGTACATATATTAATATAATAATGTACGCTTTAAGTCCTGTAAGAGTTATAACTAGAGTCTCCTGGGGGGAGAGCGGGAATTTGTGTATAGATCTATACGGGGTTGACACCCCGCACCTTCATTGTTCGCTACAGCTAGACCGGACAATCTAGGGTGACAAATAGTTTAAACAAAACCGACGCCTAAAGAACGTCATAACAGACACTCACATTAGTATGGTTATAACGACTCACAAGAATATATCAGAAATGTGTTTATACAGATTTCACTTTCAATTTACAATCAACCATGTTTTGATTTCCTCTATAAGACCCTTTTTCCACACAAGTGTTATGTTTTGTGAAAACTACAAATTTTATACATCAGAAAATATAGTATTTTCTGGGGAAACGATTTTATACGATTTCGAAATGATAAACTAAGTCACACATGCAACTATGCTCGATTGACACAAGAATTACAACCATTTTGATAAGAAAATATTGGATTTTCTGGATTTCTAAATTATCATCGAAGTTTTATACGAAAATGTTTATGAACTCACTAACATATTTTATGTTGACGCTTTTTAAACGACTTGTATTCTCAGGAAATCAATAAGAAGGTTATGGATCGCGGACTCAGGATTATTTTGCTGTATTTTGGAATTTGCTTACTAATGTCTCTTTTGTGTAAATTTGAGAACATAAACATGATGTAAAACAATGTAAGCTTGTTATATTGATGTATGATGTTTGGGTTTGCTATGTTTCATTTATATACAATTGTTATGATACTACACAATGACATCACCCGCCTTCAGACGTTTTCGTCGTTCTGGTTCGGGGGTGTGACACAATCTCCTAAGACAAAATTACAAAAATGGTCTCTGTGGTTGTCAAAATTATGTGAGTTTTGTCCAAAAATTACAAAAATGTTTGGTCCTTATGGTTGACATTTTGTTGTAGTTTCGGTCCAAACCCAACTTGAAATGACAAATATGCCCTTCAATAATTCTTTTTTAATTTTTGTAATTATTTTCTTATTTCTTGCTTTAAAAAATAAAATGAAAATATCATCCAACCCTCTCTCTCTCTCTCTCTCTCTCTCTCTCTCTCTCTTTCTCTCTCTCTCTCAGAGATAAAATCATCGGTCGACCCCTCTGTCATCACTTGCGTTCATCCCCCCTCTGCCATCACTATGTTCGACACTCTCATCATTCACCTTTAATTCATAATTCCGACCAACTGAACCCTCACTGGCGACCATCGTACCTACATATCTACAATGTTTTCGAAATAGATCTATAGTAGAGGTGCTGGTTGTGGCGAACCAAATGCAGCCCATTGAGCATATTTTTTCGGCAAGACATCGTAAATCGAAGGGGCAAGACATCATAAATCGAAGGGGAAGGGTGTAACTTTTTCTAGATTTATCTTGAAGAAGAGGAGGACGGAATGAGATAGGAGATGAAGGGTTTATGCTTTCAGGTGAGAAATGAACTCACCCCTAGGAAAAGAAGTCTCCGACCATCAAAATCAGAGAAGGAAACCGTTGGTGAACTCCGACAAGAATGTTTGTCGCCGACAGTCGTTCCAGACACCGATCATGGTAGAGGGTGGAGGGTGGAGATGATAATGAAGGGGCTGCTCTCCTCCTATAAAGATGAGAGGAGGTTGAGTTATTTATTCATTTATTCTTTGTTTTAAGTTTTAAAAAAATAAAGTAAATTTATTTATATATTTTAGCAATTAAAAAAATAATAAATATAAATTGTAAGGGCATACTCATCTTTTTAAATGCTAAAAAATCCTTAATTAGACCATTAATACATGATCAAAAGTTTACCAAAACTACTTAGAATCATGGGACCATTTTTACAATTTTGTGTCTGATGTGGAGATGCCTATGGGAGTGGGATTGAACTACTAATGTACTTGTTTTCCTAAAATGCACAAAAAGTGCATGTGATCAAATAGTACAGGGTCCATTTTTGTAATTCAGTCATCAGAGAAACGGTACCTTTTTAGCGGTGTCGGTGGAGACGAAAGGAGAGCATTGACAGTGGAATTCAGTAGCCACAGCGTCGCTTTCGTCTGGGGTAAGCAATTTGCTCTATCAATTATATATCTCTAACAGCTGTACGATTTGGATCATTCACCCACCAGATATATCTTTGTTTTATTCATATAATCGTTACCTTTACAAAAGACATACTGAAAAAAAGGCTTCTATCGATCTTCGCCACTCGATCAATATCTTTTAGTCCTCAGCTCTCAGTTCGGGTTTCATCTGGTAACTTCGCTGATTATCTATCCAGTCGTTTTAATTCTGAAGAAATTCAGTAGTTTGTTTGTACGGCGTGCACTACGATCAAATTTACCAAATTACGGCATAATCGTGTTTGGAACATTATGATCTGCATGCCTATGTTTGCATTAACCGATTTGCTCTTAATCTCAAAATCCGATAGCAAGCCTATATCACCGGAATTCAACCTTCTAATACCCCTTCCTTTACTCAATTTCATATGAATTTGCTAGAATAAGGAATTTTGATTTTGTGATTTTCACCAGGTCTTCACGTTTACGGCTTCTAGCTATGATCAGCAGAAGCATTTCTGGCTGATAGATTGTTGAGTTTGCAATTGGTTGATTTCGAGCTAAGCACAATGGAATCAGGAGAAATTGGGGTTAGTATCTGTATTTACACTAGAAGCTTTACAGTTGTTAAGCGGAAGATTAGCCTTTTCGGTTCAGTTTACATTCTTGATGCTTTGATTGTGCAGGGGAAGTCTTTGAAGACTGTGGGAGGTCAAGTTTGTCAGATATGTGGCGATAATGTTGGCAGCACAGAAAAAGGAGAATTGTTCATTGCTTGTGATGTCTGTGCATTCCCAGTTTGCAGGCCATGCTATGAATATGAGCGCAAAGATGGCAATCAGTCTTGCCCTCAATGCAAAACCAGATACAAGAGACAAAAAGGTTGTGACTTTTGATTTACTTCATAGCGTCCCCTATTTCTTCTTTTCTTTTTAATCCCCATTAGGTGCTACCTGGATGAATGATGTTTAACAGTATCATCTAACATATGTGGTATTTGTCCTCCTTCACATCAACTCATTAATTTTGTTGAACACAGGAAGCCCTGCTGTTTTTGGAGACAAAGAAGAGGATGTTGATGTTGATGTTGATGACAATACTGCTGACTTTCCCTTAACAGAAAGTCAAGCTGATAAGCAGAAGATAGCACAGCGCATGCTGAGCTGGCACATGACATATGGACGAGGGGAAGATACTAATGCTCCAGTTTATGATAAAGAGATTCCTCGTAACCACATACCTTCACTAACCAGTGCACAAGAGGTTGGATGCTTCATTTGCTTGTGTAGTAGTAGTATAGCATCCTACTTTCATCTCTGTCTTTTACTATTCTTTTCATTTTTAACCCTAATATGTAATCATGTTTTTTGTTAGGTTTCTGGTGAGTTCTCTGCAGCATCTCCTGAACGTCTTTCAATGGCCTCTCCTTCACCAGGGGGTAGAAGAACACACTCCCTCCCTTACCATGGTGATGTTAATCAATCACGTATGTTTTATGCTTCAATAATACTACCACATTAATTAATCTATCTTCAAGATACATTTTTCTCATTTTGAAGAAAATGTTTTTATTTTTTATGCAGCTAACATTAGGGTTGTGGACCCTGTGAGGGAGTTTGGAACTGCAGGATTAGGGAATGTTGCATGGAAAGAAAGAGTTGAGGGATGGAAGTTAAAACAAGACAAGAATGTGGTTCCATTGACAACTAGCCATGCTGCTTCTGAAAGAGGTCAAGATATTGATGCCACTACTGATGTTCTAGTTGATGACTCATTGTTGTAAGTCAATAATTTGACTATTAACTTTTGGTAATTTGAAAGGACTTTTTTTTTTTTTAATGTTTTGTTTTTGTTTCCTGAAGGAATGATGAAGCCAGACAGCCTCTTTCAAGGAAGGTTTCAATTCCATCATCAAGGATTAATCCATACAGAATGGTTATTGTACTTCGGTTGGTGATTCTTTGCATCTTCTTGCATTATCGGATAACAAATCCAGTGACAAATGCATATCCCTTGTGGTTACTCTCTGTTATATGTGAGATCTGGTTTGCAATATCTTGGATTTTGGATCAATTCCCCAAATGGCTACCTGTAAATCGTGAAACGTATCTTGATAGATTAGCTCTGAGGTGATAAATATCTGACTCTTTAATAGGCTCATTCATCTGTGAAAAAACTAAAAAGACATGAATACCCTTGTTGTGATAACAGGTATGACAGGGAAGGAGAAACGTCACAATTAGCTGCGGTTGACATTTTTGTGAGTACAGTGGATCCATTAAAGGAGCCTCCTCTAGTCACAGCAAACACTGTTCTATCTATTCTTGCAGTTGACTATCCAGTTGACAAAGTTTCTTGCTATGTTTCTGATGATGGAGCTGCCATGTTGACTTTTGAAGCTTTATCTGAAACATCAGAGTTTGCAAGAAAATGGGTTCCTTTTTGCAAAAAATACAGCATTGAACCCCGAGCTCCTGAATGGTATTTCAACCAGAAAATTGATTACTTGAAAGATAAAATTCAGCCAACATTTGTCAAAGATCGTAGACTTATGAAGGTGAGATTATTTACATCTTTGTTGTTTACTAAGAAATGAATAAAAAATGACTATTAGACCCTTATCCGATAACCTAATTGGATTATATCAAAATATGTTCGACTCCTTGCAGAGAGAATATGAAGAATTCAAAATCCGTATAAATGCCCTTGTTGCCAAGGCTCAAAAGGTCCCTGAAGAGGGCTGGATAATGCAAGATGGCACACCATGGCCTGGAAACAACACCAGAGATCATCCAGGAATGATCCAGGTAATTTTCTATTACCTAAAAAGGGCATTTTGGTCTTTTTATTTTTAAAAAGATGTCAAATGACTAGTATACCCTTATCTGACACTTGATGTTTCTCCAGGTTTTCTTAGGTCAGAGTGGTGGGTTTGATAGTGAAGGCAATGAGCTGCCACGACTAGTCTACGTTTCGCGAGAAAAACGTCCGGGATTTCAACATCACAAAAAAGCTGGTGCCATGAATGCACTTGTGCGTAATTTTTCACATTCAACCCTTCAAGTTTTGCATCTTTGCGTAAATGACCCTAAAAAACTTTGTAAACCTGTAGGTTCGCGTGTCGGCTGTGCTTACAAACGGGCCTTTCTTGTTGAATCTTGATTGTGATCATTATATCAACAACAGTAAAGCAGTGAGGGAAGCTATGTGTTTCATGATGGATCCAAATCTTGGAAAATACGTTTGTTATGTTCAGTTTCCTCAAAGATTCGATGGAATTGATAGAAATGATCGTTACGCCAACCGAAACACTGTGTTTTTTGATGTAAGTTTTTTTTTTTTTTTCAATTGAAGTTTTATTTTCTTACGACAACCTTTTTTTGTTTGTTTGTTTGACAGATTAACTTGAGAGGTTTAGATGGGATTCAAGGTCCTGTTTATGTGGGAACTGGATGTGTTTTCAATAGGACAGCGTTATATGGGTATGAACCTCCTCTTAAACCCAAGAAAAAGAGAGAAGGGGGTTTCTTATCAAGCTGTTTTGGTGGATCAAAAAAGAAAAGTCAATCGAATAAAAAAGGGTTAGATAAAAAGCAATCTGGCAAACATGTTGACCCCACTGTGCCGATATTTAACCTAGAAGACATAGAAGAAGGCGTTGAAGGTACAATTTTCACCCTCTATTACTTTCTATCCTTATTTCTTTAAAAGAAAAAACTTTAGGGACGAAAAATGCAAAAAAGACGTAACACAGGGACCAAAACTGAAATTTATGTAAACACTACGATTTTTCATTAGGAGCTGGGCTTGATGATGAGAAGTCATTGCTGATGTCACAAATGACACTTGAGAAAAGATTTGGGCAATCAGCTGTTTTTGTTGCATCCACACTTATGGAGAACGGAGGTGTGCCTCAATCTGCAGCACCGGAGACTCTTTTGAAAGAGGCTATTCATGTTATCAGTTGTGGGTATGAAGACAAAACAGACTGGGGAACTGAGGTTAGTAATTAATTAACTATTATCCTCATCGACTGTAGTTCAGATAAAATATATAAATGAAAGTACATTTTGCTGTTTCTTACAGATCGGATGGATTTACGGGTCGGTGACGGAAGATATTCTTACGGGATTCAAAATGCACGCGCGTGGTTGGCGATCGATATACTGTATGCCACCTCGTCCAGCTTTCAAAGGTTCAGCTCCTATCAATTTATCAGATCGATTAAACCAAGTGCTTCGTTGGGCTTTGGGATCAGTTGAAATTCTCTTCAGCAGACATTGTCCTATTTGGTATGGATATAATGGACGCCTGAAATGGCTCGAACGTTTTGCATACATCAACACAACAATCTATCCAATCACCTCAATTCCGCTCGTCGTCTACTGTACTCTGCCAGCTGTCTGTCTTCTCACCGGAAAATTCATCATCCCCCAGGTTTGTGCTTCATCGCGTTATCACTTCTCGTATTTCGTACTCTGTTAATTACATTTTCATCTTCGCAGATTAGTAATCTCGCAAGTTTATGGTTCATATCACTTTTTCTCTCAATCTTCGCAACTGGAATCCTTGAAATGAGATGGAGTGGAGTCGGAATTGACGAGTGGTGGAGAAACGAACAGTTTTGGGTCATCGGAGGTGTTTCCGCTCATCTCTTCGCCGTATTCCAAGGTCTTTTGAAAGTCCTCGCCGGAATCGACACCAATTTCACCGTCACCTCAAAGGCGTCGGACGAAGACGGTGATTTTGCGGAGCTTTACTTGTTTAAATGGACGACGCTTCTGATTGCGCCGACGACTCTGTTGATTGTGAATTTAGTCGGAGTGGTGGCCGGAATTTCGTACGCGATTAACAGTGGGTATCAGTCGTGGGGCCCGCTATTTGGTAAACTTTTCTTTGCGTTTTGGGTGATTGTACATCTTTACCCTTTTCTCAAGGGTTTGATGGGGAAACAGAATCGGATGCCGACGATTGTTGTTGTGTGGTCGATTCTTCTTGCGTCGATCTTCTCGTTGTTGTGGGTGAGGATTGACCCGTTTACGACTCGGGTTACGGGCCCGGATGTTAAGTATTGTGGAATAAACTGTTGAGTTGAAGGAAAGACGTACAAGTATGTGTAGTGTTTTTAAGTCTTTATTTATGGATAGTATTTAAGGTGTCTGGGTAATTATTGTGCAGAAAAAAACTGGGGATGTTTTTTTCCAGTTGGGATAAGTTTTTTAGGTTAATATTTTAGTTTTTATAAATGTGTAAAGTTGTTTAACGAGTATATGATTGCAAATTGTGTTATGGCAAATGTGATAGGGAATCTGAATGATTTAGTGTTGTTTGGTAAGGTTGCCGAATCGGATGATAATGTAAAAAAAGTTACCGGTTTGATCTTCTAACAAAAAGTAACTTTGAAAAAACCAGTTTTGTCTAACCAATTCACAAATTAGTAACAGGTGTCTGTTTTCATAAAATTTGGAAAGGAATAAAGCAGAAAAAATATGAAAGTTAAGGGTCTTTCGATAAATCCTAAATTTTGATGGGATAAT